GTTCCAGTGGGGTAGCCCCGAAATGTTCTTTTCATGCCAAAGGTGGAAACGGAAAAGAGCAAGCAGAAATACATAGGTCTCTTTAGGCCTAGGCTCCAAAAGCACACCATCACTCCGGCCTCATTCTGGCCAAAGCAAGTCACATGAGTGGGGACATGTGCCCTTCTTATTGAGTGGGAATCCAGAGTCATGTGACAATGGGAGTGGATACAGGGAGGGAAGAAGAATGGCAACTTTAATGCCATCCTCTACCACAGTTGGCTCACAGAAACTCGCCTGAGCCAAAATTACATAAACTTTCCTTTCCTTGTGGTTTATTTTTTTCAGGAAACGAGAACCTATGGCGCCCGTGGCAGTCTTTCAGGCAACATTCCTCTTGGCATTGCTGCCTTTGAGTACTTACCAGAGCGAAGGTAAGTGGAAAACACAGTCGAGAGAACAATCACATAGAGAAAAAAGGAGGTAATTGGTTGCCTTGGAGAAAAGTTGCACAATTCTTTTTTCTTTGGAAATTACATGGAATTGGTGAGTAACAACAGGTACCTTAGTCACGGGCTTCCTGATCTTGATGACTCATCTTAATAAGTCACCTTTGACCCTGACCTCCTGGCCATGGGGGTGTCTGCGAGTAGACCTAACCCTGCAGAACTTCATGCCTGATGCGTTGAAAATGGCCATCACCAGGGAGCTCTTTCTGCACCTCGCTGCGGAGAGGCGGGGGAACTGCCCCGGGGCTGGCCACTAAGTCGGAACACGCTGTGTGTCCCTCAGCCACGTTCACTGAGAAGCTGTGAGCTGCAAGACAGCCCTGCTTGTGCTGAAAAAAAAATATATTTTTATTGATTTCAGAGAGGAAGGGAGAGGGAGAGAGAGTTAGAAACATCAATGATGAGAGAGAATCATTGATCGGCTGCCTCCTGCACGCCCCCAACTGGGGATCGAGCCCACAACCCAGGCATGCGCCCTTGACTGGAATTGAACCCGGGACCCTGCAGTCCACAGGCCAACACTCTACCCACTGAGCCAAACTGGCTAGGGCTTCTTTGCCCTTCTTTACCAACCCTTGGCTTGCTTTGAAGAAATTGGCGGATAAGTTAGCTCCTGCCACGGAGCCTGAGTGACAGACAGCGTTGCTCTCACGTCTGGGATCAGCTGGTGGTGGCTGGGTGTGGCGGGCCTCTGGCTGAGCTGGGCTGGACTGGCCCAGCTGGGATGACTCAGCTCTCCTTCCTGGTTGCTCACTCTCCTCGTGGCTCCAGTGGGGTAGCCCCGAAATGTTCTTTTCATGCCAAAGGTGGAAACGGAAAAGAGCAAGCAGAAATACATAGGTCTCTTTAGGCCTAGGCTCCAAAAGCACACCATCTCTCCGGCCTCATTCTGGCCAAAGCAAGTCACATGAGTGGGGACATGTGCCCTTCTTATTGAGTGGGAATCCAGAGTCATGTGACAATGGGAGTGGATACAGGGAGGGAAGAAGAATGGCAACTTTAATGCCATCCTCTACCACAGTTGGCTCACAGAAACTCGCCTGAGCCAAAATTACATAAACTTTCCTTTCCTTGTGGTTTATTTTTTTCAGGAAACGAGAACCTATGGCGCCCGTGGCAGTCTTTCAGGCAACATTCCTCTTGGCATTGCTGCCTTTGAGTACTTACCAGAGCGAAGGTAAGTGGAAAACACAGTCGAGAGAACAATCACATAGAGAAAAAAGGAGGTAATTGGTTGCCTTGGAGAAAAGTTGCACAATTCTTTTTTCTTTGGAAATTACATGGAATTGGTGAGTAACAACAGGTACCTTAGTCACGGGCTTCCTGATCTTGATGACTCATCTTAATAAGTCACCTTTGACCCTGACCTCCTGGCCATGGGGGTGTCTGCGAGTAGACCTAACCCTGCAGAACTTCATGCCTGATGCGTTGAAAATGGCCATCACCAGGGAGCTCTTTCTGCACCTCGCTGCGGAGAGGCGGGGGAACTGCCCCGGGGCTGGCCACTAAGTCGGAACACGCTGTGTGTCCCTCAGCCACGTTCACTGAGAAGCTGTGAGCTGCAAGACAGCCCTGCTCGTGCTGAAATGCTCTGTGTGGATTTAAGAAAAGCATTTATCACTTAGCTGCTTCCCCAGGGAGGGTATTTTGAAATACATTAACTTTTATAAACCAAGTCAGTAAGAATTCAATTCTTCTAAAATGTTTATGGGTCCTTTTTGAAGCAGTTTGAAGGTGGATTCTTAAAGCTGAGAGCGTTTCCATTTGCTTATAAGTGTGTGTTGCTTTCTCCTGTATTTTACAAAGCTCTAACTGTTCTGTTTGTGTGTTTACTTTTCTCTGCACTCCCTCCTAAGACAGAGGAAGGCACATGCTCTCTGTAACTACCCAGACAGCTCCTGTCCATGGATTCATGAAGAAGACATTTGCGAGAAACATCCATAGAATTTTGCAATTTTCCCTTCAAACTCCATGAAAAGATATTTGGAAATTTTTAGAAAAGGAGATTTTGTTCTGATAAGAGCTCTGTTTTCTCTCTGAGATTCTTTAGGTCTGGCTTGAGTTCTTTCGGCTTCAGGGCACATGGGAAAATGCCACTTTCATGGCTTGTTAAAAATCATAGTTTGACTGTTGGTGTCTTCCCTTCTCTGCAGCTGAACGGTAGGAACTAGGATTTCTTATCTGTAGTACGTCTACTCGTCCCCCACCTCACGAATATCTCAGGGTGACCCAGCTGGCCGCAGGGTCCCACCTCAGAGAACCCCAGGCGCGTAGCCAAGCCTTCGGCACCACACTTCCCCGGGGAATTCTCATTATCTGCCCGAGGGCTATTTGCTGTGTGCCTTCTCCTCACAAGACCTCTGCTCTCTGTCCCCCTCAGCTCCTGTTGTTTAGACCAGACATGTGCCTGCCTGTTCCTCTCCCACCAGCCTTGTTTCTGCCTCCAGCTTTCTCAGCTGGGCACGCCTGCATTGCTAAGTAATCCTGTGTTCATCCTCGCCTACACTACTTGGATTTCTTCCTTCATTTCTGCTGCATCCAACCAAGTACCTACTAAGGCTCCCCACTCACGCTAGTGTCCTCCCACGGGATCACCCACCAGCTCAGGTGTGAGCCTCCATTTCAGATGAAGAAGCTTCTCCCGGCCAGGGAGCAGGGCCAGGGCTCCCTGTGTTAGCCCCGGGCTCGCGTCTGCATCACCAGAGACCAGGATCGTAGCCTCTGGCTGGCTTTTCTTCCAGTCTCTTGTGTGTATGTACGCACACACAGAGATAAAGATGTAAATGTGCAGACTTCTTTATAGAAGTGAAATTATGCTGTCTATACTGGGGATATTTATACTTAAGTGTGGGTATGTGTGTATATATGCACATACATATATATGTATGTATTTGAGTGTGTGTGTATATATATGTATATATTAGAGTACATATACTTATGTTAAATATATACTTATTAAAGTACATAGAGTATAGAGTATATATTGTATATAGCATAAGTATGTATACTGGGGAAATATACTCTATACAGCAGTGGGCAAAAGTAGGCTTACAGTTCTTTGTATGGAAAAGTATATAATACAAGAATAAATAATAGAAAAATAAATTCTGTTTTATGTACCCATAGATGTAGGCTACTTTTGCCCACCCCTGTATACTTACGAGTATATGTACTTTAATATAGTATACCCTTAATAAGATGATTAATACAACATACAATGAGAGTTGTTACCTTTGAGGTTAAATGTTCTTCTAGAAATAACATTATATTAAATGGCTGCATCGAGTCCCATCTTGTGAATGGACCATGGTTTATTTCCTTAAGTGGTGTCGGGGCCAGACAGAGAAACTGGATGGGAAGGTGGGAGGAGGGGCTGTGACTGAACCAGGTCAGTCTGATTCCCCAGCCTGCCTTTCTGGCAATACTCCAGGGCAGCGTTAGGGAAAGAGCGCTGGGCCAAGGGCCAACGGCCTTGGGTTCTGGTCAAGTTGTGCGGTTTTGGGAAAGTCACTTCCTTTTTTGTTTTAACCTCAATTTCCTCATCTGAAAAACAATGGGATTGGACTTAATCTCTAAATCCCTTTAGCTCTCCGACTTGACCTTGGCCTTCCCCACTATTTCCCAAGGAAGTCCTAGATGGCTTTTGACCAAATTATTTTGACTGACTGATGTCTCTCCAGTATTTGAGTCACTCAACACTTGCTGATGCATATGCCAGTCTAGGACTTCCCCTTCCATCTTACACAGCATCCAGTAACTTGCTAGAGTCTCCAGAAATAAAGCTGATACCAGTAGTTAACTGGCTCATTCAGCAGCCAGTCACTGAGTGCCTGTGCTGGGACAGGTGTGGTATTGGTCTTGGTTTCACTGAGCTGAGTAAGCCTTGGTCTCACCCCTGTTTAGCTCGCAGTCTATGGGGAGACAAACACACAACAGACGTGTACAGCGCTCTGTGATCAGTGCTCAAACAAGGGCCTCGCGAAGCAGCCACGGGGAGCAGAGAATGCCAGGCAGGACACATGGAGGTGCTAGTGAGGAATGGCTTGTCAGGTACTCGAGACCTCACGGAGATCCTGGATCTCTGTCATTTGAGATCAACGTGCACTATGGGTAAGACACTGTGCCAAGTGCTGGGGACAAGAGTCCATCCAAAGACGCATAAGCATCAACCTCTGTCCTTCAGGGAATTTGAATCTAGAGTGAGACCAACAACAACAAACAGGCAAAATGAAATAAGGGCTCAGAAAAATGGGGGGATTTTGCATGCACCCCGCTTTCTCTGGTGCCATTGGCTCCACAAGGATTAAAAACATGCCCCCCCAGTTCCATAAGGGACCAGCTCTTTCATCTCGCCGAGTCTCCTTTTAGTTGGAAGAATGAATGCGTAGAAGATGATGTAACTCCCTCCCTCAGGGCCTATCCTGAACTGGGCTGCTTCCTGAGCCCACTGGCGTCTGCAGGTATGATTCGTGTTTGAATCTCTCTTCTGTCACAGACTCTGTTACACCACTAACCCCCTACACTTGCAATCTCTCATTATTTCAAGAGTCAGTTGTGTCTCTCCAACAGGTTCGTTCCTCGAGCTAGGAACCTTGTCACGATTAGTGCCATTGGCTCCACAAGGATTAAAAACATGCCCCCCCAGTTCCATAAGGGACCAGCTCTTTCATCTTGCCGAGTCTCCTTTTAGTTGGAAGAATGAATGCGTAGAAGATGATGTAACTCCCTCCCTCAGGGCCTATCCTGAACTGGGCTGCTCCCTGAGCCCACTGACCTCGGCAGGTATGATTCGTGTTTGAATCTCTCTTCTTTCACAGACTCTGCTACACCACTAACCCCCTACACTTGCAGTCTCTCTCCAATAGGTTCGTTCCTCGAGCAAGGAACCTTGTCACGATTGTTTTATTTCACACCAAATGCCTCATATGTTGCTGGTGCTGCTCTCATCCAGAAAGTTCAGTGAATTCTTGCCAGAGGTGTTTTAAGTTCTGTGCATTGAGATGGGCTGTTTCCCACTTTGTAGCTATATAATGAACAACAAAATACTGACTTTCAAAACAAGCTTTCATTTTTGACTTCCAGAAATATGAAACTGATAGCAACAAGTCCTGTTGTTCAGCCCTGCTGTAAATTTCCAAGCCAGTTATAGTGTCCAAAGAAGTGTCCTTTATTGTTTCATTGTTAGATAAATCTGTGCAATTCGTTTAATTATTTATTGTTTGTATTATTTGTTTCACTGTTAATCAATATATTAACTTGCTGTGTATCGTTGAGCAAATCGTTTCATTCATCTAAGTCTTAATTGCTTCATCTCCAAGTGATTTCTAAACTCCCAGCTTTTCAAGGTGTCTGACTTTAGGATGCTCACGTGAACTGTACCTTTCAAAGCTAAACACTGATGAGATTGGACAATACCGACCTGTGGCTATCCAATCCTACTCCCATTGTCATTTCATGTTTCGCTTTGGTCTTTCAGTCTTGTCCGAACCTTTATCGCTGAATGTGTCCATCAGTTCCACACAGCAGTGTTTGCATCTAAAATGGAGTGTCCACAACCTGACTCATCCGGAATTAAAAATGGCTTTTCAGATCGAGATCAGTAGAATTAACAAATCCAATGTCATCTGGGTGGTAAGTTTTGTTTTGTTTTGACTCTATATTTTAAAAATCCTTTTCTGGTGTCACCGATTTTCTTTTATAACATACAGAAAATCCCAGTATGGAAACACGTTAGCAATGCAAAACAGTGTTCCTAAACAGTCACATTTCTGTGTTTTTAGTGAAGAGGATTGGGGACAAAGTAATGCAGGAGTCCTCAAACTTTTTAAACAGGGGGCCAGTTCACTGTCCCTCAGACCGTTGGAGGGCCGGACTATAGTTTAAAAAAAGACTATGAACAAATTCCTATGCACACTGCACATATCTTATCTTGAAGTAAAAAAACAAAACGGGAACAAATACAGTATTTGTATTTGCATGTGGCCTGTGGGCCGTAGTTTGAGGACCCCTGAAGTAGTGTGACAATTTGGTTGGGCAGGTTGGATGGGACACATGAACAGCTCATTTCTTCGGTCTCGCTGGGCCCCTCAGAAGGCTGTTGGGTCGGTCTCAGTGAGTACTGACTCCCCGAAACACGTTAGCAATGCAAAACAGTGTTCCTAAACAGTCACATTTCTGTGTTTTTAGTGAAGAGGATTGGGGACAAAGTAATGTGACAATTTGGTTGGGCAGGTTGGATGGGACGCATGAACAGCTCATTTCTTCGGTCCCGCTGGGCCCCTCAGAAGGCTGTTGGGTCGGTCCCAGTGAGTACTGACTCCCTGTCTATGAAGATCAACCAGCTTAGTCCTCTTCCTTCTTTCTTCCCGTTCCACCAGAGACTCTGTAAACAAGATGTAATTTTGGCAACATTTTCTTGCCAGTGTGGCTTCCAGTCAGTCTTTGCTTGCACTGTGCTGACAGCAAGGAAGAATGAGTCTGGCACCTTCTTGTTCTGGCAGGAAAGCACTTCTTCATGGTGGCCTTGGTCACATCACAGGTGGCTTTTCCTGTAACAAATTAAGTGAGGAAAATCCTGATGCCACACTTTTGCTTTTGAATTACTTGGTTGGATTTTTCACTCGTCTTGATTCCTATCATGGCTGTGTCTGTTTTGCCTGATGCTTCCTCGTCTAGTGCAGCGGGCACTTGGGTGGTTTCTTTCAATGATCATGGATGGTCTGGGGCACCTTAATACTCTGCCGGTGCATCCGTTCACTCATTGTCCTGGGATGGTGGAGGACGGCGGCATGTTTTCTCGTTGGAGGGGCGTGGAGGAGCTGCCTGGAGAGACGGCAGACACGGGTCGTGTCGTTGCTGGGACCTCCCTTTACTCAGTGCCGGGCCACTCCTCTCGGGCCGTGGAGGCCGGGGTCCAGGGGGCCCGATGGTTTGCTCCTTCAGGAAAGCAGGAAGGCCACTCATTTTAAAGCCTCCAGTGACTTTCCTCATTCACTCTTGCATCTGAGGTCTGAGTGAAATATAGTTCTGACTCTGTCGACGTAGGATGGACAGCAGGTGTATAACTCTACCCCCAATGAGAGCTGTTTAGTGTTCTGATTATAACACTAGCCATGTCTCCGGAGAGCTGTTCACCTCCCAACATCAGCACATCTTCCCACCCTCCCACCTCATACTAACCAGTTCATGGAAACAGCCCAAACACAATTCACCACGTTAAAAAAAAAAATCACAGGATTGATGCATTCAAGGAAAGTTTTCTCTCCTCTTTCCAAGGCTGTAAACACCACAAAGCACAGTGTGGTTAGACCAGGGGTGGGCAAACTTTTTGACTCGACGGCCACAATGGGTTCTTAAACTGGACCGGAGGGCCGGAACAAAAGCATGGATGGAGTGTTTGTGTGAACTAATATAAATTCAAAGTAAACATCATTACATAAAAGGGTACGGTCTTTTTTTTTTTTAGTTTTTTTCATTTCAAACGGGCCGGATCCGGCCTGCGGGCCGTAGTTTGCCCACGGCTGGGTTAGACGGAGCCCACGCGTGGTGTCGGGGAGAAGCAGAGCCGCTGCCTGCTGATGAGCAGGGCGGGGAGGCACTCAGCACGTGGCCTTAAACCAGCGGTTCTCAACCTGTGGGTCTCAACCCCTTCGGCGGTCGAACGACCCTTTCACAGGGGTTGCCTAAGACCATCCTGCATAT